ATATGCTACATTTACAGCTGTCTGATAGCATGCATGATACATACACACCTCCGAGAGTATATATGCTACATTTACAGCTGTCTGATAGCATGCATGATACATACACACCTCCGAGAGTATATATGCTACATTTACAGCTGTCTGATAGCATGCATGATACATACACACCCCCGAGAGTATATATGCTACATTTACAGCTGTCTGATAGCATGCACGATACATACACACCCCCGAGAGTATATATGCTACATTTACATCTATGTGATAGCATGCACGCTACATACACACCTCCGAGAGTATATATGCTACATTTACAGCTGTCTGATAGCATGCATGATACATACACACCCCCGAGAGTATATATGCTACATTTACATCTATGTGATAGCATGCACGCTACAAATACACTCCTGAGAGTATGTATGCTGCATTTACATCTCTTTGGTGGGATGTACACTGTGGTGTCCCAGGATTTTGTGTAAGCATTTTGTGTTCACATTTGAGAGAGATGAAAAGCATCTTTGATTTAAACTTAAACCTCAAAGATTGCTTGTGTGGTAATTCATGCACATTTGATATATAAGCCCTGATTGTCAAACAATATCCTAAAACACTCATCAGTGTATTAAAATAAGATCAGTCAATGTCAAGTAAGGAATACAGCAAGAACACCAAAATAATAGCGATGAAGTTACTGTGGCAGCTACATAATATAAATTCAGGAATTCTGAATGATTTATTTGAATGATGATGAAGGAATGACTGGTAGGTTTCTACAAGACCAGGAGGACGAGGGTGAGAAGATGAGATGGTTTAGTTCACAGAAATATATCATAACACGCTCTCTGGAGACAAGACATGTAAGCATCCCCTACACCAGACAATCACCACCTTCTATGCAGCCCAGCTGAAATCTTCAACTAAATTAATCACAAAATACAATTCTGTTCTACTGTTTATTAACCATGAAGGCAATAGGCAAGACTATTCGCATTTAGAAGATATTGCTGTCCTTGTGCAACAATCTCTGCTGTAACGAACCAGCAATGAGGTAGTCATGTGACCATGTTTACAGGCCCCTATGATGGGAAATCTACTCCAAATCTACTCCAGGATCAAAGCCATGGCAAAAACTGCACAAAGCATAGGATCATGTACTTAGGTGCTACTCTGAGCCAGCTGTTAAGGACCAAAGTCTGCTTTGGGTTTAATACGTTGGAAAGCCTCAAAGGGAGAACATACTGACAAGACAGTCATGATCACATGACCAGTTGGATATGCAGGACATGGTGGGCGATGGACACAGCTCAGTGATGGTAGGGATGTGTGATAAAGGGGTGTTAGCTGGTTACCTGGTGAGACACGTGTCTCTCAAACTGTCGGCATGCAAGTTGGGCTTCAAGTCTGGTCCTCTCTAGAATCAATTCCCTTTTCTTCTGGAACTCAAGCCCTCCATCAGAAATTTCACTCTATAATATGACAACCATCAGATCCTTCATTTGAAGACATAGCAACCATAACAACTCCACAAAAAAAGCTTTCACTCTAACAGAACAACTATCAGTCAGTAACAGTAACCTTCACAGCAGACGTCTACAACATAACAACCATCACAGCAGACGTCTACAACATAACAACCATCACAGCAGACGTCTACAACATAATCTTCAGGGGAGACTTCTGCAACATAACCAACAGAGCAGACACTCTACAACATAACAACTATCAGAGCACACACTTTAGAACATAACAACCATCAGAGCAGATGCTACCATAGCAACAATCAGGGCATTCACTATACAATGAAGCAACTATTAGAGCACACATTGAACAACAGATCAACTTATAAGCCCTACTGCATAGAAACAACAGCATATAACCTTAAGGAATACCAATACTGTCAAGTAAACACAACTGCTTAACCAATACGTTAAAAAGCAGCACCCCTTCAACATTTCTGCATAGCAAGTCATGACATCTTGTGGATTTCACATTCCAGATTCCTAAATCTGATATAGCTGTCCAGCAGATACATTTCCTAAATTCCCCCAGCTTAACTTCCCATGGAATGGAAAGTTTCTGGAAATTTTCCACCTCTTTGCAAGCCAATTTACTATATGCTATATATATCCAGTCTAGTCATTACATACCTACAATAATACCTTAAATTGTGTATCACGTTTTACAAACCCAAAGATGCTTCTATATTGCCATGGCTAGCATATTCACTCTATAAACACAGTGCTGATACAAAGCCTAACTCAAACACAGAGTGTGTTCTTCATCCATATGAAGTTGGCACTGGAAGATGATATGAACAAGCCTGGAATTATAGGGCTGAGACCCACAGACTGCTCTGGAAACACTTGGGTTGCTGTACCCTGAAGAGTTCTAGAAAGCACTGTGTTTCCAGCAGCTGCATCGTGGGTGTGTTTGAGACAGAGGCGGCAGACGTAAGAGGCTCTGTACTGTACCTTAGGTGTAACTTGTCCATTCTCACAGTCCTGCCCGCTGTAGAAAGAGGACCACGTGAGAAATCAGTCATGGTGTCTGCACACAGGCTAGTCATTTACCCATAATGACGTGGGAAGTCACACTCACTTGAATGACTCCTCCAGCATGACCATCTTCACAGGGTACAGCTGTACTTCTGAGAGCTCGGCAGACTCCATTGTTACTCTGTGTGTGTGGGGCCAAAGGAGACGGGGACAAGGCCTATTATAAGAATTTACCACCATAAAATGTTCCCGTAAGATAAGGAAAAATATAAAGAGAAAAATAACTAAAAACAGAGATCCAGACATAAAAAACAAGCATAGTGAGACAAAATGAGATGCACTGTAGATTGCATGTGCAACTCAAGTGAGGAAGATGAAGTGTCATGTAGCTGCTAGTCCCGAAGACAGAAAGCACAGGCAGACAGACAGACTGTGCACTTCCTGTGCCTGAGCCCAGCCCTGCACCTGTTGGGGTGCTGCAGCAGCTCCACCGCCTCCCTCAGCTGACTGATCATGCCAAAGTGGCTCTCCTCTGTGACCTTTGACCTGCATGACAACGAAAATCAGACTAACTCAAGGGGTCTGCAATGGTTATCACGATGCACATCAAGCTGTAATTAAACTGGATGATAAAATGTGCATTTTTAATCAGCAGCTGGCAAAAATTTTCAATAAATTGACACCTTTATGCTACCTCGTAAAATTCATTAACAATTCATCACCATAAATTTTTAAAATGTTAACACTGTGTTTACAAGCTGTTTAACATCCACTTTATAATCCATAGGAAAAAGACAGAGAGGGAGGGGGGGCTGGACAGACAGGGCTGGGGGTGGTGGGGACGGTATACCCACATGCGCTGCGCTGCCCAGCTGGGGTCTTCCTCTATCCGGAGGGGCTCGTCGAAACCTGCGGCCCGGTCCTGATGTGAGAGCACAGAGTCACCCTCTGAGCTGCAGCTGCAGCCAGGTCACCTGACCGCCACCCAAGGCCTGTGACTGGCTGGTACTCAGCGCTCCACCCTGCCACAGCGAGCGAGGGCCAGTGAGAACCCACCCCTCCCCCTCCGCTAACATCCAAACCCCCCTCCCCCTCCAAAGACACAGTGATCTATCCACACAATGGTGTTACAGCTCTGTCTTGCCCTCTCTCCCATTCTCTCTCTGTCTCTCTCTCTCTGTTTCTCTCCTTTGGCTGTCACATACATATGCCTGTGCAGTCCTGGGGGATACACGCTGTCACCCCCATTGTCACATAACCGGAAAGCTGTACACCACACTCAGTAAGGAGTGAGGGGGCATCTCTGAAGCAAAAGAAAACAGTCTGTTTATTATTATTAACATTCTTTGCTGTAGGCAGTGACACTTTTAATGAGACTGACAGGCAGCGTGAGAGAAGTCCATGCTGGGGAGTGAGAGGGACAGGCAGAGTGATAGAGATGCCTACAGCAGGGAGTGAGAGGAACAGGCTGAGTGAGAGACGCCTACGTCCTTCCCAAGAACCCTCGCCAGGACCTGACCAATCATGCGAGTGGGGTGTGCCAGAACATATGAATAATTCAGCGTCCTGGTTGTATTACATCATATTTTAGGCATACAGACAAATGCCCCGTGAGGTGGGGGCTGGAAAGGCCAGAAATGGAACAGGCTGCGGGAGGCGGGGACTTGCCTTGATGTAGGTGATGAATGGTGAGCTGAGTGATGGGTCCTCGTACCCGTGCCTCTTTGTCAGGTTCTCTATGCTGCGACCTGAGCTCGGCCTCACTGGGTCCGCTGGGGGGGGGGGGAGGACAGATACAGAAATTATGGTCAGTGAAACTTAAACAACAGAGGAGAGTAAATCTCTGCAGAGAGAAAGCAGCTCTAGGGATGCAGTGTGTCTCTGCCTGCGAGGGGGGGGGGGGGGCTCGGGCTCCTGGATGGGGTGGAAGTGGGTCAGCTTGGAAATTCCTGCCACCCTCCTCCATAAAGACATAGAAAGCTCTATTTAAAGAGCCTTTAGCAACTGAGCAGAGGTGCTTGCAGTGATCTCAATCAGCCCCTCTTAGTGTGGCATCCAGCATACTGAGTCTCCAGGAGGGAACAGGAGATACTACCAAGAGAGACAAGACACAAAGTGCTGAGGTCCCTAGAACACACACAGCTCATGGTGTGAATGGGTTAAATTCAGAATGGTTTGTTTTTATACATTTAAAAATTGAAATCTGGAGTCTCACTCAAGAGCACAGGCTATCAAAGGCAGCTCCCATAATCCTCCTTGTGTCGACAAGCTCTTCCTGTTCTGTATCTGCACTTCCTGTCACTTATACCCCCCCCCATGTTTTCCCTTCCCAGTGCAGGCTGGCTCTGCCCTGCACAGGATGCTGACCCCCAACCAACCCAGACTTCCTTCATACCAAGACTCAGCTGTCAGACAGACTGCAGAAAGCTCACAGCTACACCTGTTACATTCGTCATGGTGACTGCATGAACACTTAGTACTTGTTAAATCCTGGGTAGAATGATATTTTAAATGGTTTGGGAAGGCCAGCATTACCATGTGTGTTATCTAATGCCTTTTCTAATGCCTTTTTCAAAGACATTTCCACAAATAGGGACAAAATTACATTTCATTAATTCAATGTATTAACGTTTGTTGGGATGATCCTCTTCTGGGACCTGGACCTAAAATCACACATGTACTGTAAGTATGTAGCACAGAATAACTGAAACAGTCAGTGTATAGCACACAGGACACAGTCAATGTGTGGAAGGTGAGTGACTGATACCATCAGTGTGTAACAGGAGAGTGACTGTAGAGACAGTGTGTTGGACAGGTGAGGGACTGATACAGTCAGTGTGTAACAGGAGAGTGACTGTAGAGACAGTGTGTAGGGCAGGTGAGGGACTGATACAGTCAGTGTGTAACAGGAGAGTGATTGTAGAGACAGTGTGTTGGGCAGGTGAGGGACTGATACAGTCAGTGTGTAACAGGAGAGTGACTGTAGAGACAGTGTGTTGGGCAGGTGAGGGACTGATACAGTCATTTTGTAGCAGTTGAGTGATCTATACGATCAGTGTGTAGGGATGGTGAGTGACGGATACAGTCAGTGTGTATGGCAGGTACTGTAAGTGACTCACATAGTTACTGTGTAGTAGGTAAGTGACTCATACAGTCAGTGTGTAGGAGAGGTGAGTGACGGATACAGTCACTATGTTGTAGATGAGTGGTCGATACAGTCAGTGTGTAGCAGGTGAGTGACAGACGCAAGCAGTACGTAGGGCAGGTGAGTGACTCATACAGTCAGTGTGTAGGAGAGGTGAGTAATTGATAGTATCAGTGAGTAGGGCAGGTTAGAGACCAAAACAGTCTGTGTGTAGCAGGTGAGTGACCGATACAGTCAGTGTGTAGCAGGTGAGTGAATGATACAGTCAGTGTGTAGCAGGTGAGTGAATGATACATACAGTATGTAGGACAGGTGAGTGACTCATACAGTCAGTATGTAGGAAAGGTGAGTGACAGATACAGTCATTGTGTAAGAGGTGAGTGACTGAACACAGTCAGTCTGAAGGGCAGGTGAGTGTCTATCACAGGCTATGGGATGCGTCTAGTGCGTTGGTGAAGTGTTTTACTTCTATCCTCGCCACTGGCTAGCAAAGGTGTTTCCAGCACCATGAACAGAGAGCTGAGTGCCTAAGTCTCTCAATGCCAGTACATAGCCTCTCCACAGCAAGCCCAATGCTTTGCCTGCCCATGGTGACAGATGTCAATTAGGCACTGAGAGGTTCCAGCCCAGACTGGCAGGGACTTGGAGGAGGTTGGTCCCTAGACATGTTGCATGCAGGCCCACCGTTGAATGGACATGCCCTGGAGCATGATGCCCACAAATCAGCTATGGGCAAAGAGCACCACTGCCTCGTGATGGTCTTGGGAGAGACAAAGGCTAAGGGAATAAACCCTGACATAAAATCACCACCTCTGCTGCCTTGCGGCTACCCCCATATATGAGAAAGCCTGTTGCTGATCTCAGCAATGCTCTGGCAACTCCGGCAACACTGCTGGTGCCAAACCATACTGGCCTTTGCCATTCCTTTGGATCCATCACCAGTGTGGAGAGTTGGTTCTCCTTATTACGCTGCCCTGGCTTGTGCCCTGGAGAGGACACTCCAGCTTCGCCTCACAGCATCAACTGTCAAGCCATCAGCAACACAAAAAACAGCCATCATCAACAATGAGCTACACAGACTACAGGTGGACATAGCTGCTCTGCAAGAAACACCACTACCTGGATCAGGCATGCTCAAGGAGAAAGACTAGACCTTCTTCTGGCAAGGGAAGAGAAGTGCAGAGAACATGGGGTGGGATTTGCTATCATGAACTCCTTGTTGAAAATGGTTGAATTAGGCGACAAGGGTTCCTCTGGGAAACCATTCAGACAACAACCTTTGCAAACTTTGGGAAGAAGACCTCCAAGAACTGTGACTGGTTTGAAGCCAAGTCCAGCGTGTTAATTCCCATCATAGAAGTGATGAATGCTCACTAAGTGAGAAGTCCCTCCAAATACTCAGAGCTGCCAGGAGTAAAGTACAGCAGACAACGAGAAGATGTGTTAACGAATACTGGCAGCAGGTCAGCCATGACAGCCAGACTGCAACAGCAACAGGAAACATCAAAGGGATGTACAAGGGGATCAAAAAAGCTTTAGGTCCAACTCAGAGCCCCACACAAATCATCCAGCAGGGAAGTGATAAGTGACATAGGCAAGCATATGGAGAGATGGGCAGAACCCTACTCAGTGCTATACACCAGAGAGAACATTGCTGTCACTTCAGCTCTTATCTGATGCCTCTGCCCATCATGGAGGAGTTTGCACGGCTATTGACAGGTTAGCATGTGGCAAAGCACCAAGCATCGATGGCATCCCGTTGGACCTGATTAAGCCCTGCAAAAACACTGCAGCCTCTACATGACATCTTTCACCAGTGCTGGAGAGGAACTGTACCACAAGACATGAGATGCCAAGACTGTCACTCTGTTCAACAACAGGGGGGACAGAAGTGACTATAACAACTCCAGGGGCATCTTCCTCCTTGGCAAACTCTATGATAGTGCACCTTCAGAAGTTAGCTGAGCGCATCTATCCCAGTGTAGATGTTAGGGGTGGGCGATATGGCAAAAATATCATATCACGATTTTTTTACAGTTAAATCACGATTTCGATTTTATCACAGTATTTATACTGATGTGAATGATATTGATTTTTTTTTTCTAGTTTGCAAGTTACTGAACAGTACAACCAAACTATTTTCCTTTGTAAAAATATAGTCCTAAAGAACAAAACAGGATATTGGCCAAAGAACATCAAATAAGGCTCTGAAGTGTGGCTGGACCACAGATCACTGGTTGCTGCGAAAAAACGGATGTTTTGAACTTCGCATTCCATTTTTTCATGCCATTCAGAGTATAGACGTGGACTGGCAGTGCTGGAGAAATATTTTCGGCTCAGCAGCTCGTATCGCGGATCAGTTACTTACAGCAGACTTTTAAACGCCTTGTTTTCTATAGTTTTGATGGGAACCATATCTTTTCCGAGGTAAAAGGTAATTGCTTCTTTTATCTGTTTCCATCACTTGCTTGTCCTGTCCTACGGAGCGCCTTTCTCAAAAGCTTGTGTCAGAGTGGTTTGTTTTGGTTTGGTAAGTGATAGAAAAGGTTTGTGATGTTGCCGTCCGACGCGCGAACCTTTTCTCTGCAGACTTTGCAAATAACGCCTGTTTGTTCCTTATCATTTGGGTAAAACCCAAACCACTTCAATATCACCGATGTAGAACTCATCCATTACATTCTTACTTTCAGACATTGCTTCCCGCTACACTCAGAATCAAAGAGAGTGATGGAGTGAGACCTGTACATCATTGACGTAGTTCACTTTGGTTGGTTGAGCGCTGTTTCTATAAGGCGGGCATTAAGCGGACTAGCAATTAGTGCACTTTGGCTGAGGAAAAAAATTAGGAAGAGCATAAAGCCGCAATATACAGATGTAATCTATATGGACGATTCTACGATCTCTCTGCTTTGGCAGATCGTCAACACATAGATCGTCTTCACGATATCATATCGTCATATCCCCCACACCTAGTGGATGTCATGCAGAATGTTCAACAGGAGAAGTGCAGAGGACAGCAGAAGCCCCTATGATGCCTTCATCAACCTCATGAAAGCATGCAACATTATTAGCGAGGATGGGCTCTTCAATATCCTTCTGAAAATCGGATGCACCCTGTAGCTACAAAACATGGTAATATGAAGGCAACCATCTTGTATGAGGGTAGCATGTCTGAACCCTTTGATATCAAGAATGGTGTGAAGCAAGGGTGCGTCCTCTTCTCTCTGCTCCTGAAGTATGCTTTTGGGACTTCAACTGAAGGAATGTACTCACACACCAGATCTGATGGGGGAGTGTTCAACCTTGCAAGACTGAGAGCTAAGACCAAGGTACGCAAGGTCCTTGTCAGAGACATGCTCCATGCTGATGATGCTGCATGTGCTTCACGTACCGAACAACAAATTAAGTAGCTCATGAACAGATTCTCATAAACCTGCAAAGACTTTAGGCTCACCATCAGCCTGAAAAAGACCAATGTGTTGGGTCAAGATGTGGACACTCCACCAGTGATCATCATCGACAGCTATGATTTAGATGTTTTCCACCAGTTCGCCTACCTTGGATCCATCAGCAAGAACTTGTCCCTTGATGTCAAGACCAACCAATGCTTTGGGAAGGCTGGAACAATTTTTGGCTGATTTTCCACCCGTGTCTGGGAGAATCCAAAGCTCACAATCCTGACCAAAATGGCCGTGTACAATGCCTGCATCATCAGTAAGCTCCAGTATGGCAGTGAAACATGGACGGCATACGCCAAAGAAGAGCAGAATCTGAAGAGCTTCCACATGCGCTGCCTTCGTCGTATCCTAGAGATCATGTGGAGTGTAGTACCAAATGCCCAGGTTCTCGAATAAGCTGGACTCCCCACCAAGCAAAAGCAGTTCAGACAATGCAGGCTGTGGTGGTTTGGCCATGTGTGCTGAATCGAAGATGGCCGTATACCGAAGGACATCCTCTACAGCAAGCTAGCCTCTGGAAAGAGATCTGATGACCTCCCCCAGCTGCACTGTAAGGATGTCTGCAAGCGGAACATGATATAAACTTTGAGTGCTGAGAAGATGTAGCAGCAAACTGCAGCAGATGGAGCAGTGGGCTCCAGAGGCAAATTAAGGCGGGAGACGAGAGGATCCAGAACCTGGCTGAAAAAAAGAGAACCAAACGGAAGGTGCACTCCTGCGGAGACAATTCTGCAACCACCCACACCTGTATTCGATGCAGTAGAGAGTGCCACTCCTGAATTGGACTAATCAGCCACATCTGACGTTGGTTCAGCCGTGATATCACCACGGCCCTAAACGACAACTAGGGCATATCATCCATGGTTGACTTGAACGACAAAAGCCATTAATAGGGCAGGTGAGTGACTGATACAGTCAGTGTGTAGGGGAGGTAAGTGATTGTGTGAGTGACTCACCCGTCAGAGCGCTGATGTGCTCGCTGGAGTCGTCTTTGCTCAGGCCGTCTTCCTCAGTGATGTGGGACATGGGGGCGCTCAAGCTCAGGCTGTCCTCGTCCGAGGGCTGGAATGAAACCCCCGGGGGATGTTAGCAACCCCCAAACCTAACATGTTCAGTGTACACAACCAAATGCTGCTGCACTCAGCAGAAATGCACTGTACCATACTCTATGGACCTGACCCCAAAAGCTCATCCCTGCACCACAGTGCCCTATAGCTTGAGGACACCTCAGTATAATTCCAAGCAAGAAATCCCAGCAGGTGGATCGGGTCTCAGGTGTGTCTGTGAGCCGCCAGCACTGGCTCCGTTCCCCTTTCACGCGATACATTTCAGCTTGTCAAGCTTACAGAAACAGCTGTCAAGCTAAAGCATGCATAGGGAAACACTCAGACCACACCCACCTTCCTGTTTGAAGAATATTAAATATTGTTTGTGCCAGGCTTGCCACGTGGTCAAATTTTTGCATATGATTATGCCTATGGGGTTACAGTGCCCGCTGTTTTATGGGACCTTTTTAAAGCCCTCAGAGGTGCTCACACTGTAAACTAAGGAGTAATGAGCAGATAGTGCATCATTCTGCAGCACTAATGCTTCATTAACCCCCGTGATCAAAGCACAAGTCTAGGGAGGTGGCAGGAGTGTGACCTTCTAAATGTGGCTTGGTGTGCCGCAGATGTTAAAGGCTCAACCAATGAGAGACCAGCTCATTCCTTTAAAACACTGACTCGGAACACAGTGATTATCATTTCTGTTAGTATGATGTTCGGGAAAAGAGAGAGAGAGAGGGAGGGGGAGAGAGAGAGAGGGGGGTAGGCTGTCAAGGGCGCCTAGAGACAGACACATGTGAGAAACACCCATGTATTATTGTAACAGTGTTACTAAAACAATCACATGCAGGGAATCACTCAGGGAAGACAGGCAGGTCTGCAGTGACAGGCTTCGGTGATTTCACGTTGTCCTATCCCCAAAGAGACACACAGACACACAGCCGGTCTGTGCACACACAGACGCACACACACGCGTGCACAAGCATGCACACACAGACGCACACACACGCGTACACAAGCATGCACAATCGGATGCACACACACACGTTCGCACGCATTCATACACCTACCTCGGTGGTCGATAGCCGTTTGTCTCCATTATCACTGCCAACTCCAGAGTCGGTGTCGTGTTTCTTATTCTGGTCGATGTCCTCGATGCTGGAGAGGATGAGGCACGGCAGACCATGGGTTAGATGGGGCAGAGAAGACTGCAGGTTAGCCAGAGGAGCCAGAGGCGCGGTCGGGGAAAGTGGGGGGAGAGCGGGGTCTCCCTCCAAGCTCCGAGAACAGCGCAGCGTCTCTCTGACTCTAGTCTGCTCGCTCAGTCACTCACTGCAAGGAGGCATCCTGCCTGGGAGGGGCTGTGAGGAGCATCCTCACACTCACACACACACCGTAACACACTGTAACACACGCACACACACACACACACACACACACAATAAGGCTGACACACATAGAGCCCGCCCACTCCCTGAGATGTGAGCCAATCAGGTATCTGACAGGTGAGCTGAGGGACAGCTATCAATCCATCAGTCCCTCTGTAAGTCACGGCAGTCTGGGAATCACCGTGGTAACCAACCTTCCAGCTGCCGGCCGGGGCAGATTTAGCCTCTCCATTGCGGGCAGGTAGAGCAACTCGGAGCCCTTGTCATGGCGACACGCCTCCATGGTCAGGTACTTGAATATGTGCACCTTCCCTTTGGTGCAGATCTATGTGGGAGCAGCAGGAGTAATGAGCAGATCTCAAAGACAAAAACGCAATAGCACTAGCAGTCAGACTGGGAAAAGCAGACAGCGGTATGTGCGGGCTCTGCCGACCTGTGCAGGCGGATTCTGCAGTGGGTTGTTCTCCAGCTGCAGGGACTGCAGCTGCACCATCTTCCTGTAACATATTGGGATGCTGGACACTTTGTTGCAGGAGAAGTCAAATTTCACCAAGGGAAGCTCTGCCAGATCTGAGAGAGGACATGAAAGGAGAGGAGTGGAGAGGAGGGGAAGGGAGGAGAGGGGAGGGGTTGGGATAGATGAGAAGAGAGGAGAGGAGAAGAGAGGGGAGGGAAGGAGGAGAGAGGAGGGGAGGAGGAGAAGACATGAGAGGAGAGGAGGGGAGAACAGAAGGGTTGAGGGCTTTGATCCTGGGAGCAGACGAGGATCTGATAACACAACTCTAAATGCACAAGGACCAGCCAAAAACTGAAAGTGTTTTTAATGCGCTCCCTTAGGAAGTTCCCACTCTAACCATCCGCCCATCCATTTATCCACCTTAAACTCCATCCTGGAGCCTATCCTGGCAACACAGGGTTAGGGACATCCTGGACGGGATGCCATACTCACTCATGTTTAATGACTGTAATGCGTGTCAAAGGGTACTGTAATGACACAGGGTCTGACACAGAGACACCATCAAAACCAGCATTGACATGGTAAAACATATCTAACCCCCTGCCCCACCCCAGCTGCGAGGTACTGAGCCAGCAGGCAACACAGTTGTTCTACACAGGGAGCGCCCAGGTCTCACCACACATGAACTGACAGGGACCTCTGAACAGGAGCCAAACTAGCCACTGGCTATGACTGAGTGCTTAGGTCTGCGGACACCACTGTAGTAGCAAGAGCAGGTATATCAGCAGGAGCAGTAACAGAAACAGGATCAGCAACAAGAGCAGCTCTTACAGCAGGAGCAGTAACAGAAACAGGATCAGCAAAAAGACCAGCTCATGTTGACCTTAAGCCCTCGAGGGAAAATCTATGATAGTGTTTCCATTGGTGAAACAGAGGGTACCAGTTCAGCAGAGGGAGAACATTCACGCCTTTGAGGAGATGAAGAAGGCTTTTCTCAATACAGTACATCAGTGCTTCCTCAGAGGCTGCATCAAATGACTATCATATGATAGTCTGCTCTGGGGCTGAATTTAGTACTCAAGACCACCGTTTTGCCAGGAATGAGTGCAGTCTCGGAGAGCTTCTTTCCAATCATCATCACGTCATGTAGCTGACTCATTAAGCTGACTCGCTTGCTCAGAAAAACCCCGGCATCCTCATCAGGTACAGAAATACTGCATTCTATGTTATTTATCTGTAGAGCTATTTTACAGCAGGGATCAGGTGGCAGGGAGTATTTGCATAAATGCGGGTGTTTGCAAGTAATTGTTCCTGTGTGTCAGTCTTTGTCTGTACTCAGTGGTTTAAAGGACACCTAGTTACAGACAGACAGAGGACTCCGAGGAGAAAGAGAGGCAGGATTTGGGCTTCATCTCCTCGTTGATTTCCCAGGGGAAGGTGATTTTTAGGCAGTCAATTAATATCTTATCTCCCAGTCAAATGCCTATCATTAAACTCCATCATTAACCCTCAAATATCCCAAGTGAGCAAACCCCTTGGGAGAATTCCTGCAAATTATTTTTGTATAACCAGTTGGCAAAGCTGATGTTTCACATTCCAGAGCTGAAACTTGTAAGAACACTTGAAGGAGCCTATTTGGCTTTGATTGGTGATTAATAGCAGGAGCACTGCAGCTCAGATGTTTCCATATCTGTACTGCTGTCACTATCCCAGAGCCCACAGAGCTTTTCTGTTCAGATCCAAATAAGGCGACTCTCGTCAAAATGAAGTAATTATAGTCCAATGTTCATACAGTAGTCAGTTAAAGGCTGAACAGAAATTAGTGATGAATAAATTAAAGGTCAAAGCAAAAGTTAAACACTCCACAGAGACTATAGAGGTTAAACATTCATATATTTATAAGTCACTTAAGCATATTTCTTGTTCCTCATTCAAGACCTTTCACCCCATGCATCCTTCTGTCAGCCCCCCACCCCCAACATGGTCTAGAGATCAGGTCACACTTCATCTTGCACCAATCAGATTTCAGCATAAAGCATAACTACTGGAATGACTCATTTGGGTGGAGTAAAAGTAGAGCCAAAGATAGGAAAAATGCATGGAAAAATAAACCCTCCCTTCCCCCCCCCCCCCCCCCCCCCCACATTGCACTGGGGGGGCTGTGAGATTGGCCTCTGCTCTGGGGAAAGGTGAGATCCCTTCATCAAGAGTGAATAATGTTCTACTCAGGCCAAGATTATTGCATTCACCTGAAAGGTGTTGAAACGCCGGGCTGTTTCATCTGCTCTAATCATAAGGCAGATTCTCCTGCTCACTTGCCTCCTTTGGCCTTGTTTTGGTCACTTACCTTACTTGAGTTTTTTAAAGCCATTCGACTGATCTCTCACCATTACTGGGTTAATCAACTTGTCTATGCTCTATAAGGCCCTCTAAATGTTAAACATCTCATTTATGTTTTTAAAGCCATTCTATTGGTCTGTCATCACATTTGTGTTTCTTAAAGCCATTCTATTGGCTACTTACCCTCTGGGAGAATGCAGAGCTGGTTCCTCCGCACATTGAGCTCCCTCAGGGCCTTCAGCCTGCCAATGTGGCGGGGGAGGGCGGTGAGCTCATTACAGCTGACATCCTGTGTGAACAGTAAGGATAAGGGAAGCGTCTCATGGCAACATTGCAGACCAGCCACACAACCAATCACCATGCTGCCAGCAGGAGGAAACAGCGGGAACGGCAACTGTAACCAGAAGTTTTGTTGAGCTACCCCTAAATAAACTGTCATGCCCTGTCATTCACAGCACCTACAGCTGCTCACAAAACCCACACACTCTCAAAAATGCACACTTACAGCCATCCAGGAAGAACTGAGATTAAAATAACGGAGCTGTAACCCTGGACCAGAAATAGCAACGTGATGCTGCCACCACTTGCTAAGTCCTGGGATAGGTGACCCTCAATCTTCCAGACTTTAAAAATTTCACAGTGTGGAACAGTTTGACTGTTGTGGGTGACCCCAGTTTCTACAGTAAGGCTACATTGGTGATTCAGTAGCAGCATCCCACCCACCTGTAATCATATCTTTGTTTGGACCGCTCATTCATTTCTATGGGAAAAATGCTAATGCTAACTATGACAACCTTAAGCCCTACCTAGCTCTAACCATAACCATAAGTAACCAAACAAAATACAGATGCTCTTCTACTTACAAATGAGATACGTTCTGAACAGCCGATAGTAAATTGAAATGTTCATAGGTCGTTATTTAACATCATTTTAACGGACTAGGATGCTGGGAGTACGCACGCTATGCTGCTGCGTGGGGGGAGTAGCCGGCAGAAGTCGTGCTACCCGGAATTGGCGCTCAGGAAAAAAAAATTGATGTTGCGGACAGGAAACGGGAGCCCAATGAACACAATTTGGACTTACAGTCCTCTTCATTCGTATGTCTGAAAGTTTGTAAAGTGAGAGTTTGTAAGTAGAGGAGCGTCTTTATAAGAGTTTTAGCATTTTTAAGTTTTTGATTGCAGTCATGGATTGAAAATCATGGGTATTTATCACATTTTGGGGACATTTGGTCCCCACAAGGTAAGGTATACTTGGACCACACACACACATACAGGTTTGTAATTATATATTTGTGGGGACTCTCCATTCATTTCTATGGGGATAACTCTAATCCCAACATGATGACCTTAACCCCTACCCAGCCCTAACCTTAACCATAAATAACCAAATACTAGACTTTGGCATTTTTAGTTTTTTGATTGCATTCACAGATCTTTGTGGGGACCTGAAAAATGATCCCCACAACGTCAGAATAACAGGGTTTTATTACATTGTGGGGGATATTCGGTAGACACACATACCAGAGTAAACCTGAAAACACGGCCACACACACATTACAGTAAACCTGAACACAGAGCTACACACACACTAAACAGACTGTGAACCAAAACAGAAGTGCAGAATCCAAGCTGTGTGCAGGCGCACACACACACACAACCATACACAATCATGGTGCCACTTGCGAGACACGTGCAGGCACACGCATACACAGACACACATTGGCAGACACTCTTACCAGCTCCATGAGGCCGCTGAGCTGTCCGAGGGCCTCGGGGAGGGAGCCCAGCTTGTTGTTGCTGGCGTTGAGCACACGGAGGGGCAGGCCACACACACACGCCGGCAGCGCTGACAGCTGGTTCCTGCTGCAGGGAAACACATGCAAACACATCAGCACCACGAGTCTGTTCATGGGACAAACACACAGGAAGTGACATTCCAGCACCAAATCAAGCTGTAAAAATATAACGGCGTCCATGATGTGAGATGTGACTTTTAACATGTCAGTAAATTAATTTACAAAGCAGTTTTGTAGCTACTTTTGGTTTCTACTTTTTACAACTTACATGTGCCAAGCCGTGGTAAGTTCATATTTTGTCGTTTTAAATATAAAAATAAACTATAAAAGTAGATGAGTTTTCTATCACCCACGGCTCAAGTAATCCATCAAACAAGCTAATGAATGAGCTAAAATAATATAATAGTACTATAATATGTAGCCAGCTAACTAACAATCTTGCTGATTCCCTATAAAGTGTTAAGCTAAATCCAAATGTCTTCAAAATCTCTCTTATTTATATACTTTTTGTATGTTTGCCTTTACATATACAGGAAATTATTAATTCCCATAAATTCCCATGGAAAGTTTCCAATTTCTTCAGAAAATTCCAGGAATTGGCATCCCTAGATGGAAGTAAACATGGCGGAAAGCTTTCGCTGTGGAGGGGGTGGCTGAGAGGGATGATCCCCTTAAAGCACATCTTAGAAACACAGCTTCAAAACCAGCCTCATGAACAAGCCTGGCACTTAGTACGCAGCCTGGGAGAGACATAAACAGATTCCAGAGAAATGTGGCAAGCGGGAAAAATCCAGCTAATTAAAAAAAAAGTTTGATCTCATAAAATAAACAAACAGAAGTGCTGAGTCTTTTCCCGGAGCGTCTCACAAGCACGTCATGCCTCACGCCTGCTGGTACAGCGGAGGCTCAGGCTGCATCCAAGATTCAGGGCACTCAGTAAACTGGGAAGGGGGGGGGAAGGTCGGGGGGTGACGCCACTGCATTCCAGAACATTCAGGTAGATTGCGGAGTGTCTGTTGCCCGTTTACGCCCATGGGGGGGGATGGGGGGCTGAGAGGTGGAAGCAGTGTAGATGGCCCCATTTCAACGGTAGCTTTCCACGGGACATCCCCACTGCTGATTCCAGCCATACGTTTCAGCCCCTGTCTGGTGTCATGTGGAACAGGCCCAGGCACGATCAGGCAGATGGACGATAAGGTGCCGGTTTTCATGTTTGACGAGGAACGGTTATGTACTGCAGGGCCGTGCTTGTAGACGCAGGTCTCAGTGTGACACGGACAGTGAACACATTTCCATTCTCATTTACTCTCATACCCACATATGACAAATAAACAAGAAAAAATCAGTGATACCTGGCGAGTCCGCTGCACGTACCAGGTGTCACATGGTAATGATCTCACTAGCATGCGGAGCAAAGCCACGCGGAGCAAAGCCACAGGGCAGGCAGACAGACAACAAACAGGCACAAAGGTGCATTTACATTTAATCTGATCAAGGGGAGAGAGAACAACCATCACAGACGGGGTGGCTGGTTGCGGCAGGACTCTACTGGGCCAGCTCTCTGCCTGTGGCTCCCCAACACCCTGCCCACCTAGCAGCCCAACTGCCAATGAGGGAGCTTGTAACATTAAAAAAGAACAAATGGTAACGCTTTACATTAAGTGCACCTTCATAATGCATTCATAATGCATTCATAGAACATTAACAAACAGCATGCAAATACACCTTAACATCCTAACATCCCTTAACAGCTTTAATCTACATTAATAACAAACATTACATGATTATACAATTATAATGTTTGTTATAAATGTATATTACAGCTGTTAAGGGATGTTAAGATGTTAAGGTATACATACATGATGTTTATGAATGTTTTATGAATATTTAATGAATAAATTATGAAGGGGTACTGAACGTTTTATGAATGCAATATAAAAGCATTATGAAGGTGCAGTTAATGTAAAGTGTTATCAAACAAACATCCGATAACAAATACCGGCTCATGTCTTTCCAGAAGAATGTGAACCCTGCTCACATGTGTTGTCCAGGCAGTGAGAGGAATTCCACGTGTGACCCCCTCGGCTCACATGACTGCACGCCTTTCTGGGATTAACCCAAACCCTAACATCTTACTATAGTTTATGGGAGCCATTGATTAGGAATGCAGACTGCAGATGACGGGACCATCCGCTTCTACTTCTCCTGGGGGGCTCTATAGGCCTGTCTCAGGAAGCACAGGACTGCAGTCAGGAAACAATGTCATAGTCACCGATCTCCAAGAGCTCGTGCTCTAAGATCAACCTGCAGCATCAGGGCGTAGGACACAAAAATGTGGGGTAAACACAGGAACATGCCAACTCAACTCACATTAGTGCTGGGTACCAGCATTTCAATGGATGAGTTCAATGTGGTTTTTGAAACAAATAACAACCAGACATAGACTGGCAAAAAGAATAAGAAACTGCCCTGATTTTCATGAAAAAAATATTTAAATTCTACTCAAAGAAACGATTAGTTTAATCTGAAGTATTTTGGCCCAGTTTTTGTACTTTATACCAAACTGTGCGCTACGCTGCGGTCACCCACTAATCCGGAGCATACTTGAACCCCTCTGCTCTGCACAGTCCTCCAACACGGTTTATGAAACTAAAAAATGATTCAACATCAGTGCAGCTCCTATTCCACCCAGATTTCTCCCTGCATGGTCCCTCATTAATAGAATAAGAAACTAGATTAGTGTTTCCCCACTGCACCTACAAGGCCAAAAGAGCAGTGACTAATTATCATCTACTGAACACTGTATCCCACGTTCACACAGTCACACTGTCACGTGATCCCAGTCACATGACCACACAGCCCCATAAGTAGCATGTCTGTCACTCACATACACAGAGTAGAGGGTCATACGATCTTACGGCTAGTCTCACCATTACAGTCTTAATGCTAAAAGTGCAGAACAGGATGAGCTGCTAGCACATTGTTAGATGCTGGTAAAATAATAGTAATAATTGATACTACTTGGAGAAATTCTTTTTATGCCTTCCGCAACATGCGCTCTGTAGGTGAGAGTAAGCTGGCCGCAAAGGGCAGCCACCTGCTGTGGTGCCCAGGGAGCTGGGGGTTAAGGGTCTTACTCAAGGACCTGCAGATGTGCCAAGGCTGGGCTTTAACTGGTGACCTTCTGATATGAGGCACAGAGGCTTAGCAAATGCCGTTTGAGGGCCTCAGCAGAGCTTCAATGGATCTGCAGACACACTGTAGCGTGTCTGGGGTGAAACAGCAGCCGCAGATGCTCTGGGGACAGCTGGGTCACACGGGCCAGTGAGTTAATGGCTCTAACGGTCTAATGGTGAGGGTATAACTCGATGATGCAATGCCTCCAGAAATACGACATAATTGCGCAGGTTAATTGGCTGACCTTGATGCTTATGTTACAGGAGCTGAGCCGTGGAAACCCATTACCCATGTGACCCGTCCCTGTAAGTGTACCTTAATCGCGGTCACGACACGACATCAGTGTCACACACAGGTGACGAACTCCAAATGACTGTGGAATGGCTGCTTTGAAAACATTCTGCATCATTAATGAGGTTTGTTTCCTTATACACTCCTGCCTGAAAGCTTCCAGACTGTAAAGCATGGCCTGAATTATACATACACCAAAAATGGCAAATTTGAAAGTGGGACAGTGCTAATTCTGTATTCCATTTCAACTGGAAATTTCAACTGTAATGCTCCGTGAAGTCGGAATTCCGACTCAGAAAGTCGAAGGAACCTCTGCAACCCCGACCTCAGAATTCAAGAGGCTGCACTCTCAAAAATCAATAGCAGTGGAAACTGTAGTTGTATACTGGTACCTGTGGACTCGTTGCTACGTTGTTTGTATGCACAAAATACGGCATGATGTGTTATCAACTGGTATTGCTAACAATGGCAAACAATAAACCTGGCTAGAACTGGTATTGCTAAATGGCTTTCTGATTTGATGTACTGGAATGTGGTTAAGTGTGACATCATTCCCAGCTCTGACTTCAGACCTCCGATTTAAATGGAATGCAACATAAGTGCCAGAACAACAGAAAGAGCAACACAGACGTCAGGCCTGCTGAGCTCTAGCTCCGCCCAGCCGAGTTCTGGCTCCGCCCCATTGAGCTATGGCTCTGCCCTGTTGAGCTTTGGGTCCACTCTGCTGCCACACCTTCCCTTCCAACACTGACATCACGTCACCGATAGAACAATACATGTCTCTGCCAGGTTACGGTCACTCACTAACCAACGCAAAGGGGACATGAACTGTGCTGTTTTTCCTGTGCACGCCATGGTCTGCATTTAGGTAAACAGGAGTCTCAGGCCATTGCCAAACACTCCAGACAGTGACTGGTCCCTGGGGAGGGGGGGTAAGCACAGGTGAGCTGAGATCAAGGTCAGGTGTCTAACAGAGCACCATGGTGCCACGGAAGCTGAGAGAGGGCCCTGCGGAAGGGAGCGGCATGTCTGAGGCCTGCCTTACGCCCCCTCTCTGACCCCTGACCGCGTGTGGAGAAGGCCAGCTCTTCATGCCTCTCACCACCCCCCCCCCCCCCAGCTGATGTAAATAGCTCCACTCTCTGACACAGAGTGTTCCAGCACAGCTGACTGCGAACACTTACGTAACAGCCGCCTTATGAGCACACCCCCACACTAAAGGGAATCACCCCGCCACCACCCTCCCTCCCAGACAGCAGACACCATCGCCTTCGCTGCTCAGGAAGACAGGATGTGTGGCGGCGGGATGGTGGGTCTGTCTGCACCCTGCACCTGAGGCCATACACTCTGGGAGCCATGCAATTAAACAATGTACAGCCGTGGCCCCTGCCCCCCGCAGTATACAGCCCTGCTTCCTGGTACATAACCCCTCCTCCTGGCTCCTCACTTCTCACTCTACATACCCGCCCCCTCCCACAGCCTGGCAGCCCATCCCACTCTGCTAGCAAAACATCATTGCGTTCCCAGACTCCGAGAGGCTAAACAGCTTGAAGGGGTTATGGTGTGTGTGTGTGTGGAGATGGGGGGGGGGGGGTGCTTCTTTTTGAAGTTAAAATCTAAATGTTAGCTCTGGGACTGAGCAGAATGCCGTGGGGTGGGGGAGGGTCACAGTTCTCCACAGGGGAGGCAAAAAACAAGACAGAGAAGTTACTCAGAAGTTCCTTCAACTTAATTTACTGACATTTAAAGCAGCCAGTGACAGCCCCTTACTTCCGATTCACCACAGACTGAGGTATTACCTTAGATTTACCTCAGTCAGAGGGCTGTATTACCTAGGATTTACCAGTCAAAGCGTAGTATTACCTCAGATTTACCTCAGTCAGAGTGTATTATTACCTCAGATTTACCTCAGTCAGAGTGCGGTATTAATTTAGATTTACTTCAGTCAGAGGGCTGTATTACCTCAGATTTACCACAGTCAAAGTGCGGTATTACCTCAGATTTACCTCAGTCAGAGTGTGGTATTACCTCAGATTTACCTCAGTCAGAGTGCGGTATTACCTCAGATTTACCTCAATCAGAGTGCAGTATTACCTCAGATTTACCTCAATCAGAGTGCAGTATTACGTCAGATTTACCGCAGTCAGAGTGCGGTTTTACCTCAGATTTACCGCAGTCAGACTGCGGTATTACCTCAGATTTACCGCAACCAGAGTGCGGTATTACCTCAGATTTACCTCAATCGGAGTGCGGTATTACCTCAGATTTACCTCAATCAGAGTGCAGTATTACCTCAGATTTACCTCAATCAGAGTGCAGTATTACCTCAGATTTACTGCAGTCGGTGTGCGGTATTACCTCAGATTTACCTCAATCAGAGTGCAGTATTACCTCAGATTTACCTCAATCAGAGTGCAGTATTACCTCAGATTTACCTCAATCAGAGTGCAGTATTACCTCAGATTTACTGCAGTCGGTGTGCGGTATTACCTCAGATTTACCTCAATCAGAGTGCAGTATTACCTCAGATTTACCTCAATCAGAGTGCAGTATTACCTCAGATTTACCGCAGTCAGAGTGCGGTATTACCTCAGATTTGCCTCAATCAGAGTGCAGTATTACCTCAGATTTACCTCAATCAGAGTGTGGTATTACCTCAGATTTACATCAATCAGAGTGTGGTATTACCTCAGATTTACCTCAGTCGGAGTGCGGTATTACTTCAGAACTACCGCAGTCGGAGTGTGGTATTACCTGAGATTTACCGCAGTCAGAGTGTGGTATTACCTCAGCGGTCTTATCTCAGGTTTAATATGGTCAGACAGCGGTCTTACCTCAGGTTTAAGGAAGTGAGTGTCTGTAGATTGACTATGGCATCAGGAATGGTTTTGACACAGTTGTGGTAGAGGTTCAAGGTCTCCAGGGAAACTAGCTGGCACACCTCCATGGGGATGTCAGTCAGGCGATTCCTGGACAGGTCTGTGGGGGGACAGGTGGGTTACACAGTTATGAAGTGAAATTATCATTAATGGCCTTGCACAACCTCTCCTGGAGCCAACACCTTATCGTGGTGGAGAGGTTTGCGTGTTCCAATGATCCCAGGAGCTAAATTGCCCGGGGCTTTAAGCCCCTGGTAGGGTCACCCAAGGCAAACAGGTCCTGGGTGAGGAACCAGACGAAGTGCGGCTCACAAGACCCCTAATGATGAGTATAAACATTGATCCATGATTTCCCTTGCCCGGACGCGGGTCACCGGGGCCCCCCCCTGGAGCCAGGCCTGGGGGTGGGGCTCGATGGCGAGCGCCTGGTGGCCAGGCCTACACCCATAGGGCCTGTACATTGGGGTTTACCGCAGTAGACGAGAGGGTAGCCTCCCTTCGCCTTCGAGTGGGGGGACGGGTCCTGACTGTTGTTTGCGCTTATGCGCCAAATGGCTGTTCACTATACCCACCCTTTTTGGAGTCCTTGGAAGGGGTGTTGGAGAGCGCTCCCCCCGGGGACTCTCGTTCTGCTAGGGGACTTCAATGCTCACGTGGGCAATGACAGTGAGACCTGGAGTGGCGTGATTGGGAGGAACGGCCCCTCCGATCTGAACCAGAGTGGTCTTCTGTTGTTGGACTGTGCTCGTCACGGATTGTCCATAATGAACACCATGTTCAGACATAAGGGTGTTCATATGTGCACTTGGCAC